TGTATGCTAGGATTTAAAAAACCAAACTGCACCCCAACCAAAAGTAGCAGCCCACTGGAAGTTCCTAGGGCAGCCATGGTATGGCTCTTTACATCCCAGTCTTGCGTGGCAGACCCGTGTCAGGAAACCATCAGCGCTGTGTTTGGTGCTCTGTGCTGGGACTGCACTCCCTGATTGCCCCGTGTCCCTCCCGACCTGTCCTTTTGCATTGTCTTGCCTTCCACTTCTGCCTTCTTTTTTTCTCCCCCCCCTCATTGAGAACAAATAAAGTAATTAGAAGTTTTCTTCAGGCAGAGGGAGGAGCAGAGGAGAAGTATGTAATAAGTTTTGTCTAAACTGTTTTCCTTTGGTAATGCATGCCCTAAAGCTGTGTGCTTAGCTGGGTTCAGTGTAATTGTTCCTATCCTGCAAAGCCTTTCCGGGCTGCCCCAAACAGAGCACCAGCACTCACGTCGTGCCCCTTCCCTGCCTGTGCCTTGCTCCATAAGAACCTTCTTCTATGGCCAGTTATTTCTTCACTGAGTGAATGAAACTTGGAGTCTGATTCTGAAGATCCTGGGTTTAAACCTTTCTGGCAGCCTCCGTGGGTGAAAATAGTGTGGTGATCATGTAATTAAACACACTGTAATAGTGCAGATACACAATCAACTTTGCACAGAGGAAGTTTACTCCAGCGTTCCCTAGTTTTTACACTGGCAAACTTTACCTTTCTTTGATACATTCTTTAAGAAGTTATCACAGGGAGGGTAATTGCAGGATCCTATTTCAACTTGTGTGTCTACTTTTGCCACATTATGGCCATTTTACCTGAAAACCCTGTTGCCCTGCCAGCTTTCTCTTGGCTACAGTGTGTTTATACACACACTGGAATATTGTAGTGAAAACCTTAAATTGCTTAAAAGAACAAATGAAAATGTACAGTTTTGTGTCTGGCATTTATACTTGGGTTTTTGCTGCCCTGCGAAAACCCACCCGTTTGGCCCAGGCACACTCAGTGCTTCCTTTTCAGCTTGACAGGGAAGACGAGGAGTTGAGGGTGGAGGCAAGGAAGGGTGGGCTGGTGCTGAGTTTGGACCTGGGCATTAGGAACAGGAGCAGTGGATGGAGCAGGGGCAGAAACAGGCAGGAGAAACCCAAGAATGGCAGGAGCGAGAATGAAGAGCTGAATGGAAGCAGAAAGCTGAGGCTGGGGCAGAGTCTGAGGGGTGCAGAGAACCAAAGAAGAGACATTTTTGTCATGGAAACCAGCTGTGGGATGGGAGGCCTGGACAAGAAGGATTGGGATTGCTGAAGTGAGCAAAATCAGCCTGATTCTTATCAGACTGATAAGAGAAAGAGGGGTCGAAAGGGATGGAGGTCACAGCCTCAGAAATAGCAGAGAAATCTGTCCAGCAGAAAACATTTTGCCCTTAACTGGGACTTTAAATGGGATTGTTTCTCTGCAGTCAGCAAATATCTGTGAAAATGTCTGATCATTCTGTGGTGCTGTTGTTCAAAAAGGATCACAGCCTATTCATGCTATCACTGCCTTAGTTCAAGGGACCACAATGTCCCCACTGGTGCCTAAAATAAAGGCCTGGTTTTTATAGCCTGTGGATGTCTCTAAAATGCCATGCAAAGAATTTCCCGTTTGTTTGAGGTTTAAAATTTAGAACATTTTTAATGGTGCTAAAATATTTATTAGTATTAATATTTTCAGCTCTGTATTTGTTTTTAATCTGCACACAGAAGATGCAGGGAATGGTATTTTGAAAAAGCTTTTCAGGCTTTATTCAGAAGTAGCATGTGTGTGTCCAATGATTCAGATCTTAATGGCAGGATAATATTCAGTTGTTTTCAAAGGACTCTAAGAGTTGTTTACTGTTCAGAGTATGTCTGATCTGAGAATGAGTGTGGTATGTGCAGTGCAATATCCTTCCTGGAGAACCAGCAATTTGTTATAATGTTTGAAAATTGGGATTATAGAGAGGGCAAGGATTGCAGGAGGGATGGTCTTGTAATTAAGTCAATTGAAGGATATCATGGAAGGTGTGATGTGTCTCTGCCAATACCACTGAGCTTCTGAGTGATCATGTTGCTTCAACCCACCATTTTTATTTCTATACCCTTATTTTGTGTCTCCAGCTTTCTGAGTGCCTGACTTGGAGTTCTTGAAGAAATACTAAGCACTAACAACTGCAAATGAAGTTAGCATTTTATCGTGTGAAATGCTGTAAAATGCTAAACATTCTGGAAAAGCAAGTCCTAAATGCCTCAGATTGTGTTTCTGAAATTAGTAGATACCTTTTGCCATGTGTTTTATGTGCCTCAATTCCCTGTCTCTAAAATGGAGGTAACTTTTCTGCCTTCTCTCACAAGAATATTAGGAAAATAACACAGTTGGTATTTGTGAAGCATTCAAGTGCTGTATACTGACATGTGCTATTGAAAAGCCATTCTGTCTTCAGAACGAGGTTTGAATAGTGTACAATAAATATGTCAGAAAAGTTCAGAGTAAACAGTGACAAGAAAATAAAATACTGAATAGCCAGTCACTAAATGAGCAGTGTGCATCCTCTTCAGTGAATAAGATGGGGGAAGAAGAGTATATGCCTGTATAATGAAATACTGCATCGTAGCAAATATATCTCTAAAAGCCCAATTCAGTTCCAAGATCCAATCTGAGAATCTTTATAATTTTTTACTTTTCCTACCTATAAGTCTTTGGAAATTTATAAATATTCTTCTGTCTGTTTTCTGTTTATAATGTATGTCAGCAAGTGAACACAACATCGACCAAATGACTGTGTAAACATAAAAGATTTCTTTTCTTTTGACCACACTTTCAAGCCCAGGCCAGCGTGGCAGGGTTTGCAGTTGTTCCCTGTCTGTGATATTAGTCAGTCCCTGTGTAAGATGAGTTTGCTGAGTCTCAGTTCTGTTTGCTCATCATCACCTTGCTCTGAATCCACGTGGCAGACTTGGCAAAAGGGTCAGTAGTTGCAGGAGGAGGACGGCATTGCTACGTGTTCCCTAGAGGAAGCCGCCTCCTGGTGAGGGCAGAGAGATGTTTGCAGGGAGTGGGAGAAGGTTGGATTAGTTCACTTGTCTCTCCGCCTATACCCTGATAAGCAGAGCACTGTACACTTTTTTTTTGATTTCTTTTTGGAAAGAAAATGCGATTGAAAGATCTGCCAAGTGCTCCCCTGTCCTTCCCAGCTTCTCCCCCTCCTTCGTTTTCAGTGGTTCCAGCCCCCTCTCCCACAATCCAAGCCCTGCATTGGCTCTTCCCAGCAAACGTTTTTTCCCAGCAGCCAGACAAGGCAGGCTCGTGCCCCGGTTCGTGTTGTGTCGATGCAGAGATGAGGCATCGTGGGCTGCAGTTCACATCCACTGCCATGCTTAGCCTTCCTCGGAACAGGGAGAGGACTGAGGGTGAAGGATCCTGTACCACAGCTCTGATTTAGCTCACTGAAGTGTCAGAGCTGCACACTCACTAGGTGGTGTATCTGGGGAGCGGGTTTTGGTGTGTAAATTGTGCTTCAGAGGCAGAGTGCTGTAAATAAATGCACACATTCCTCCTATTGCAACACTAAGATATCATCTCACCCTGGACTCGGGCTTCCCTGCTTCTCACACCACTTTATGCACTTCCTTCCCTTGGAGAAGACATCAAGCCAGCACACATTCTTCTCCCAAGTGCTGCCCACAAACCAGGAGTGGTAAGAAGCACTTGAGAGCATCTCTCAAGTTATGCCCAATTGCACAGTCTCAAAGCCAGCGATGAACTGAACAGCTCAGCTCGTTGTAAATACAAAGATGTGTTATGCTTTTTAATTGAATTCTTATCTTATCATACAAAAGTTTCGAAGGGATTGAATGAAAGGCAGCTGTGCTTACGTGTTGTGGTAAAGGCAAAAATGTAGCAAAAGCTGAGGATAAGGATAGTCCACACAGCCATTACTGTTCTCCTGTTCCCTTCAGAAACCTGTGCATTTTAAAAGAACCCCACAGTCTAGCCTTTGCCTACTAAATCTTTCAAGAAATATGCTCCTTCCATGATACCAGTTTCATAAATTATTGCACTGTGCAGAAGAAGCTCAACTGTCTCATCTGACTGGCTTTCAGTGCCTCGCTGCCTCCAAAAGCAAACCAGTAATTAACTAAGTAAAGCCTCAGCTTTACCCTCATTTTCACCTTACTTTACAGAAGCTAAATGGTGATTTCGTGTCCTTTACATATCTACAGTGTAAAATGTCCTCAGAGAGAGGGTAGAAATATTTTTGTCATAGTTGAAAAATAAGGTTTATTATGCAAGGGCCACGTGCTTGTGGACAACCATGTAACCTGTGTCTCTGTTTCCCCGTCTGTAAACTGGATGGAATGTTCCTACAACTCGCCAGGGAGGGCAGGCTTTGATTAACATGTATGATTGCCCTATACATATGCAACTGTATCACTGCTTGTTTTTATTAGCAACTAGCAGTAGAATATGAAGAAGAAACATCTAGCAGAATAATGCTGCAGCCAGGGTGAGCCCTCTCCATCTTTTGACCATCACATAATTTATTTTCAGGCTCTGCCACAAAGTGTGCGTGTTTTGAAAGAAAACTACACTTACACTGTAGCTATAGTAATCAAATTACTTGAGTTAGAGGTGGACAAACAGGCAAAACACTTGTTTTTAAAGGAAGAATGCCCACAGATATAATTAAATATCTCGAGCAAATTTTTATTTTGTTTAGAAAATTTTCGTAAGGGGGAAAAAAATCTCTTCCAATTCACAGAACCCAACGTACTGAAACCAGACAAAACTGTTTCCAGGTCAGCCCAAAAAGAACGTCTGGGAGGTGTTTTATTTGTGCGAGTAAACACCGATCAGTCAGGGAAAAGACTGCATTTTGAGATAAGCTATGAAAAATGAATTCTGCTGCATTTATTTATTTTTTTTTCTCCCTGTTTTTTTCCAATCTCTCTCTCTCCTGTCTCTCTCTCTCCCTCCTGAAAATCTCCTGCCACAGCGGCTGCATTTGCCTCCAGACTTGTCAGACACAGTGAGCCGCGCGAGCAAACAGGATCTGGCAGGATCCGCCAAACTGCTGAGCTCAGGATGTGGTGCGATGGCCATCGGCAAGAAGCACCTGGACTTCTAGTGATTTCTACTTAGCAGTTCCACTCAGATTTATATGACACTCTAATTATGAGTGTTAATGACTTATATAAATATTTTTCTTAATGATTTGACCCAGCAGTCTTTAAAAATACACGTTGTCGTGTGATGCCTTCTTTTTCTTTTTTTTTTTTATCTTTTTGGATTCTGGTTTCTTTGTACTGATTTTGGTCTTGTTTGGATTTTGCTTTTCGGTGAAGCTTCTGTTGTGTTGGGTCCTGCCATTGTTCTGCTCCACTGGAAGCATACAGTATTTTGTTCCTATCCTTAAAATATGAAAATTGCTGTTACCGTTTTCATTTCTGTATTTTTTTACACTAAAAAATAAAGGGATGTTTTTCCCAATAGATTTTTTTATATATAGTTGCATTTAATATTTTGTATGAATAACGAGTTGGATGGTTTATTGAAATAAAGGAGTGAAACTAAGCAATTCATTGTCACGTGTTATTCGGAAAGCAAACTACATAGTTTTAAAAACATTCGTTTTTGTAATTTGAGATACCATTCTTAAATTTCAGGAAACTACATTAGTTTATTGAATATGTAATAATAAATTTAAAATACATAAGATAGTTTTTGTTCTAATGTGCCAGTAATTAAGAATAGTTGTTTTTTAAATCAGAATATATTACAGATAATTACTTTTCCTTATGGTTTACTACATGCATTAAAATGCACTTGAATTGAATTTACTAACCAGAGAGGAAAGAATTGATTTCCTTGTGTAGTTCAAAACAGTAAGCCTAAACAATTGAAGTCAGCACTATGAAATTATGTCAACAGACATAATTCAAGATTGAAATTCAAACCGACAGCTACATTAATGCTGGGAAACCAGAAGAGTGCATTTGAGCTCGGGGAAGGATATCACAGCGTGCTGGTCTAAAGCAGGGCAGAATACACAAGTAATTCAGGCTTCCCCACCCTCAGATATACAATCTGTGAACTTCTAACTGGTTTGTGTGCGTCTCTGTGTATCTCCCATCACACAAAGGAACAGCAAAGCAAAGCTGACCTGTAAATTCGAGTGGTTTGCATTCTTTCTTCTGAGGCTGACTTCCATTTTGAAAGGTAATATCTTCTTCTCTGCAGAACTTCCAAGCCACCCAGCTGTAAGATTGCATTACAGTTTCGAAATTTAGTCTTTGTAATAGTGTATTACATGGCTGGGGTGAAATTGAGTCCTCAAAGAACGTGTTAATAGGATGCAATAATGGTAACGTATTTTGATGGGTTTGGAACCAAGAGTTGGTGAAGTGGTTTGCTTTTTTTTTTTTTCCCCTGCAATCCAGGTTCTACTTTATTTTTTTTCCTCAACAAGGCTGTGTAAAACAAAGACATAGCTTTTAAAACTGTCTAACTAATATGATGAATGTCAATCACTTAAAAAACTCCACTGTAGCATAAACACATACTGTATACAGCTTTTATTCTGAATTAGAATAATTGAATCAATGACAGTGATTTGCCAGGATGTCAAATCTATCCATCATATCCTGTCACTACCAGTTTATTTTTTGTGATCAAAATCAAAAAGACTACTATTTTGTCATCAGCTATTTCATTAGTAGTAACAATCAGGTTTTCTCTTCTATATTTTTTAGATATGCCTGTTATATTTTTTATTTCTAAAGACACAAATTCTTTTTAAGTCTTTTCAAAATAAAGTTTCAGAACTGAACTGTCAGTTTAATGAAGAAAAAAAGACATCTACTTTCCTATGCAAACATATTTAAAATATTATCATTGATGTCTCAAACAGTTCTTCTCTTTTTGTACTATATGTAACACTGAATGGAAGTTCTCATTAGGTACTTAATTGTGCCATTTGAAAGCATGAAATAATTTAAATACTTAGGATAAAGTGATTTTTTAACAAAGGTGAAGTTTTACAAAGTACATCTTTTTAATGTAAATAACACAAAACACACATGGAATGTAAAGTCACAAGGCATGTGAATTGCTGACAACATAACTTAAATAGGTCGTTCACTTAACACACAGGGGAGAAAACACCATGAAAGTCACAGTCCATTCCCAGTTAATGTATTAACAGAAAATTGTTAGCAAGCAGCATATGTATCCCATGGGTGTCTGTATGTGTGTCCTGTGCATTTATAAGACTTCAGTTTCCAAAACTTCAGTAGGTCAATATGAAAGCTGACAAATATTTTGAGTAATAAGAGGAACTCCTTCTGCAAATGTGCACTAGTGTGGTGGGGGTTTGTTTTTTTCTGAGTCACTGAACGTGCTTTGTAAAGCAAGTGTTAGAGAATACAGATGTACAGTGTTGTTTACCTAAGGGCAAAGACACGGAGCAAAATTCCTTTTCTTCCAAAATATCTTATCAGGTACAGCAGCATGATGACAGTGACTTGGCTACTCCAGTGAACTGCTAGGTGAAACAGTGCTGTGAACGTGCTACCTGAGAGGATGGAGATGTGGAGTGGGCACTCTGCAGGTTCCAGATGTTGCACCACAAGCGGTTTTGACCTGGGCAGCCGCAGAAGCTTTGCCCTGGTGATTTCCTGTGCCTGTTCCCCACGGCCACTCTGTCACCCTCAGGCTCCTGAGCACAAAACATCCTCCAGCTCTTTCCTCTCTTGATCTGGAGACAAATATTTACCTGAGGGGTGCAGCCCAGGTATGGAGGAGTGGGCTGTTGCAATGTGCCACCAGCTTCTTTTGGCATCTCCTCGCTGGCTTGGATGGAAAGTCTGTGCGTTCCTCCCTTTGCTCAGAGCGCTCTTTTCCAGAGATTGTGGTGTGAGGTTTTCTTGCTTATTGCAATTTTTCAAGCGGTGCTTCCTACTTTTTTTTAGCAGGCTACAAACTGAAACCCCCAAACTCAGCAGGTAAACAGTAGATTCCTCCCAGTGAAGACGTTCCCGATTCAGCACAAGAACCTGATCTTTACAGAATTGTGACACGCGGTAATGAAATTTAAAACGTCATGCCTTTGATATGTCAGAGAAGAATTCTTTATATAATTTCTGTTGTGCTGAGATTTTTCAAAATATGAGTATTTGGAACATGAGAAGAATATTAGCGGAGCTGAATCTTTTTCCTCTGTTTGTAAAGGCATTTCAAAAGCAATTTCAAGGGTGCAGTTGAATTCAATTTTCTGTAACACTTGCTACAAGTGTCTGGAAATGGGCATTCAGCTACTACAGTTTGATGCCTATGGTAGTATGCAACCGGTTTAATCTTTAAATTTAATATTAAATAAATAGTGATGTTGTTCCAAGCACAGCTTTTTGGAAAAATGCAAAAATCTAACTTACAAAAATCCTTCTACAAAACCAATTATCTGAGTTTTTCTGAAACCACAAGGGATATGACACGTCCTACACTCAAACACACACAGACACACATAATTAAACCAGTAATTCTCCAGGATCATATATTAGAAATTTAGTGAAGTCTTCTCCTTTTGCCTGTGCTGGAGAAGCATCTTAACAACAGAGCACAGCAGAAATAGGAAAGAAGATGCTTTTATGCCTTTAAGAGGTTCTGGAAGCAAGTACTATCCCCCATGACATCTCCTGGGGGTTTTGTTTTCTCTTGTGAGCTACCTGAGTGCAAGGCCTACATTTCTTTTTTTTAATCACACTGAGCACATGATGGTGGTTCTTCAATAATAAATGTACCTCTGTAGAAAGAGAGAATGAAAGTGAATCTTCTTCATCTTACAGGAAAAAAAAGGCAGCTCAGATGGAGGGAAAGGAAAAGAAAACCAAAATTTCTCCACTTTTTTTTTCAGCTTCTGGTCTGATATAAGCAAATGTTGGGCTCTTCTTTGTTTTCCCCAAAAACGAGGGGAAAAAAATCTGTATTTCAGCATCTGAGTAGGTAGATTTTTCCAGGAGTGTTGAGCATAAAGCATAAAGCATCCCAGAGCATCTGATGAAAACTTGGTTGCTAATTCAAACTCTACCTTTAAACAATTTTGAAATATGTTAGGCACATCAAACCAATTTATAGACCTCCTGTTTAACAGGAGTGTGGGGTTTTCAACATTTTATTGCATGTGGATTTTCTGGACCTGTACAGCTTAATCTAAAAAGTCTTCCAGAGAAACTAGTGATGGCTTAGACTAGGAGCAACCTGCTAGGGTAAGGGTCAGAGGACCTTTTTTTTTTACAATTTAGCAAATCTAGGTAATTTTTAGCTGCATATTCTGCTATAAATAAATTTTTAAAAAAAAATCTAAAAAAAAAGTGTATCTTAATGTCTTCTGGCATTGAAGATATATGTAAAATCCAAAATATAGGAAGGATTTTTTTAAAAAAAAAAAAAAGTCTTTATGCTGGCAGACTTTGAGTCTGAATGTTTATCCCCTCGGAATGTTCTCAGTGCTTAAATATATCAGAGGTATTCTCTTAAAAATCTTGAAACAGGTGAATTTTGCTACACTTCCAGATGCTTCTGTTGGAGTCAGGTTGGAGCAAACACACTGGAGAAAGCTCTTGCTGAAATTTCACCGAGCTGGACTTACAGAAGAACAGGAAGAATGAATGGGTTGGGTTAAATATGAAATCAGGCAGTTTTCAGTGCCCATATTTTAAGAAAGTATAACACGTGGAGAAAGGGCTGCCAGCTTGTTTAAAATATGTTGCTTGAGTGAAACTTTTCTGCATTCCTTAGCATGGATTCATTTATATCAATAATATTTATATATTATTGATAAATATTTATATGTATGATATATATTAATCAATAATATTTATGTTATTGATTCCTCACCAGGGAATTTTTAGCAGGTCCATTTCCTCTCTGGGCTCATTAAATATCATTAAACATGGCACAGGATTGCATCCAAATGGTTCTGGAATATCTCCAGGGAGGGAGACTCCACACCCTCTCTGGGCAACCTGTTCCAGGGCATGGTCACCTACACAGGAAAGAAGTTCTTCCTCGTGTCCAGGTGGAACTTTCTGGGCATCAGTTTCTGCTCGTTGCCTCTTTTCCTATTGCCTCCTGTCTGTCCTCTGACAGCCTCCCTTCAGATCCTGACAAACACTGATGAGGTCCCTTCTCGCTCTGAACAGGCCCAGCCCCTTCAGTCCATCCTCATAAGAGATGCCCCAGTCCCTTCATCTTCACTGCCCTCCACTGGACCCGCTCCAGGACCTCCGTATCTCTCTTGTGCTGAGGAGCCCAGAGCTGGACACAGCACTAATGAATAAAACTGAACTCAGTCGAGACCAGATAGGGAGTGACAGACAAAGAAAAGCTTTTGGAAGAATTCCCCAGCATGATGAAATTCCCGTTTATGGGGCTCCCTAGCCTACCAGTCCAGGACAGCTCAGCAATTTTGGAAAATTACTTGAGTGAGAAGGAGTTTGGCAGCACATTCATTGAGACAGTGGAATAGCAAGTCCATCTGTGTGGGATACTGCGTGGGAGTC